GTGTGTGTGTGTGTGTGTGTGTGTGTGTGTGTCTGTGTGTGCGGGCGTGCATGCGTGCGTGCGTGTCTGGTTGTACGATGTGTAATGGACGCGACACCGTGGTTCCTATGGTACACTAATATCAAGAGCGTATATATATACCTTCTTTATACGCTCTTGCTAATATGCATGTCAGGTGCGCACGTCATTACTACGTGTATGTATGTATGTATGTATGTATGTATGCACATGCGCGCACACGCACACACGCACGCGCACGCACACACATACACACGCACACGCACACACACGCACACACACACACACACCCACACACACACACACACACACACACACACACACAGTTGACACACTATAGTCCTTGATCCAGACACATCATGCATGGGTAGTTAGGACATCATGCGTCTCAGGACACTACTACAATCACACAACTCTTCACGGTGCATCTGACAACGGGCCCCTTTGTCGTCGCTAAACACACAGCTTAATCTCAGCCGAAACTGAAACCAGTGATCAGCGAAGCTAGAACATCCTCCACGCGTAACACATCCAGCGCACGTGAACCACTCACTACGCTAGACGTGATGCGGCCATGATGCCGAGGCGCGCCGAGGATTGACACTTTGTGTCTTCCAATCACAGCCTACGCTGCACCAGTCTTTGATATTTTTAAATATGGGGACCCATTGGACCACCAAATCGCCGATCTCAGAAACTAGGGCATTCTGCTATGTTAGAATGGTTTCCTACGATAGAGTTTGCCACAAATACGAAAATAACACGCTGTTTATAGCGAACTGCGCTACGTCCTTCTGTAGCATTTTCGCATCTCCGTAATCAGAATAAGCCCCGCCTTCTTCGTTGATGGGCATGAATGGGGCGTCACCGACGTGACCAGTTACTGTACCTACTGTCTTTCGCCAGCCTGTTTACTTTTCGTAAATAATGAAATGCCCGGCCGATGCATTTCGCATCGAAGTGGAAAAATTCGGCATTTTCACCCGCTTTCGGAAGTGAAAAAGTGCGTCATTCATTGAACATTGAAGTTTTTCTTAAAATTAAATAATTCCGAAAATCCCTAACCGCGCTACTCGATTGTTTTAGCCAATGAAGGTAGCTGTGTTTGTGACATCTTGCCCGCGCGCTTTATGCTTGGCTTAGCGGGCCTCGAAATGGATATCGGAGGCAGGCACTTCGCGACACGCGTGTTTGTTTACATATAGCTTTGTGACATGAGGATGGGCGGTGTTGGGGAGTTCTGCGATGATAACCTCAGAATTGCTTAAGGTGCATAGAACATTTTACCAATTTAGTGGTGTCAGTTAGCCACCGCTATGTCACAGCAAGTACTAACCGTATATGTTTCACATACGTTTACCTATTTTACACACAGGCAGTGGATCATTGTGAAAAATTGTGTGAATATTTATTTTTATTGAGACGTTCCAAGTGCCTGTGCTTTCAACGGTCTTGTACGTCAATGCACGTCCGTCAAGAGCCATGCACAAACTCAACACAATTTCTCTGTTATTGTTTACGCCTGAATGCGGGTGGGGGGTGCATGTAAGAGGAAGACATTTTCTTTGGGGTTCCGAAAAACACAATTCCACTTGACAATTTCATGGGCCATTTCAATTGAAAGCTCTGCATAATGGACCTCCAACAAGCCCTTTGAATGACTAGTCAAGAAATTCAAAGGTCTGTATATTGCTCTTATTTAGCCGCCGATAGTTCTTATTTAGAACAAAGTCATTGTTATCTTCTAAAACTACAGACCATCCGCTGACCGCTGTGGAGACGTGCGCCGGGCCTCGAATTTGGCGCACGTCTCCACTGCGGACAGCGCTTCATACTTGAACATCCCCGCGGTCGCGTGCGCATATCCCGCGAAACTGCGCGTCTCATCCGCGCGCAGCACTCAGGATCAACAGCAAAGCTGTGCCACGCAATCTTGTATCATGTCTCTCTGGTTACGCGCTTATGCAGTTT